AAGCAGGTCTTGCACAGTAACAGCTGGTAACTTAGAGTTATCACAGTCAATCCCAGCGAAGTATTGTAAAGCTTCGGAGGTGAGTTATTAGGTAGGCCGCGTGTGAGCACGACGAGCGACAATGACGTCATCTTCTGAAGGAGGTGGGGGCAGCGAGGGAGGGCCTGCTGCAGCTTATGGAGGTACACCAAAGAAATTTTTTGCGGTAAAATATTCATTAACAACGGCATTCTGTGCGAAGAAATATTTGGGCTGCATGGCAAATCAGTGACGCTTTGTTGCGCCTCCCCCCTGTAAACAATAATTTTGCGAAACTCCAGCGATGCTTATTGAATATTGAGTGGCAGTTATCCTTCTATAATGTCAGTATCCAATACCTACACAGTTGAGTTAGGAATTGATAAGGCTCGATTGTGGATGAGCGAACTTGAGCATTTGACCCTTCAGACTGTGCCTAGAAAGTGGATACACTTTCCAACTATCTGCGTCTTTTTTATGAACAACATCCACCCTAAATAGAAAATCTCTCATTCCACCATTATGTTCCACATTCTTCGTCATACACTGTTCTTGTATTTCTGCAAAAGTAGGTGACGGTGTCGCTACCACATGCATGGTTCGTGGGCCAATTTCCGCCATGCTTGCGGTGCTCTCGTCACTTGTGGCCTTACTGATGCCAGGCCTGTCTACTAGAAAAAACGTTTTGACTAGTAAGCGATGCCATGTAAGCGACAAGTGAGATCCATTAATGCCTCTCAAGAACTTCAGAAAAGCTTAGCAACATGCGGTCTACATAGTAAAAACACCTCGACCGGAACACTCGTCTTTGTTCTTTTCACTATGGACAGCTAGATTACGCTTCTTTCACTATGAAACCTTTCTTAAGAAATGCATAGAAACCACAGCAGCGAATAGCGTCATTCATGAAATTTTCTTCGACAAAGCCTAAAAATACATGAAGTCGACAACAATGATGTCATCACAACGCAGCCCATCGTCACCGAATAAACTCTGAACTGGGACACTGGCCGTTCCGTCTTGCTGGCCTAAGGTGGACCGTGCTTTATCTGATTTTCGGAACCCACATAATCACTTTAAACTATTCTTCATCACAGTCCCCTCGTCAAGCTGCCGTCAGGGTCGAAAGTGGTATCAGGATAGTAGGTATCACCCACCTGCGACCCCACTATTGCACCCTACCATTGGGCAATAATTCATAAAAATGAAAAAAAAAAAACATAATTTTCCCGATCCTTCACTACTTTGCGGATGAGCTGCATATTATTTCGTCAAAATCGTAGACATTTCGTTAGAGACTTTCGGGCACTTGATGCAATAAAGGCGTCAGCCGATGCCAATCATTGTTTCCTAAATCCAAAAGAATCTAGTTCCAATCAGTCCTACCTGAGGTATGGGAGGGCTGGTTGGCTTTGGCGATATCCAATCCAGCTTTTAAATCCCAGACCACAGGTTGGACAGGGCACCAGCTACCATTACCCCTCTCACTCAAATCAAAAATGCAAGGGTATTGAGCATTCTATTACGACATCTCTTGGCTGATACTTGACAGCAATTCAAGAAAAATCACAACAGCACAGCCAATTGGAGCAAGCTGAATTTGATTGCCTCCCACTAGGAACAAATGAAGCGATCCAATTGCGGGGTGAACCGGATCTCCGAAAAACAACTCAAAAAGACTCATCTTTTTCAGACCCTTTAGTCACTGTTTCCCCACTTCACATCCTCCAAAATTTATAAGGAAAGGTTCCTTTGAAGTCCTTTGTCTTATAAGACATCAAGGACTGAGCGCATGCCACACAAAAACGATACGTAATCGACGTTGATGAATCCCTATGGAGCGTGTTTCCGCATTCAAATTCTTCCATGACTCATAGTTTCCGTACGCGAGGAAGTGTGTGAAAACCTCAAAAACTAGTTGCTATCTAAATCGAAGAAATGTTATTTTTACAGACTTCATTTTTTTTGACATGTTTTCGAACAAAGAAAAATCAAAAGCAACTCAAAATTCATATATAGTAGAACTTTCAGGCTCGCCATCCACTGCCGGTGTCGGCTACTTGCTAACCGGATGAATGCACTGATAAGCTCTGGTAAATGTACCACCAAAAGTTGGGTTAAGGCGAAGCGGTGTCCAAGTGGTGTAATCGGTAGCACAACTACCTGGGAAGCAAGAAGTGCGGGTTCAATTCCCGCCTGCTAAGTTTCGCCATATTCCTATTCTTGAAATAGCTATAGAGACCAATTCATCAGTACCTCATGAGCTTAACTATGGATCAGGAAATTAAAGAGTAGGACTTTGCTGTGATCAAACCTTTTGAGATGCGCCATGCACTAAGTTTCCAGGAAAAATCGCAGAAGCATACCAAATCGTATATACGAGCATTTGATACGTAACATCCGTGGGTGAGGCACTCATCCAGTGAGAATTTGTATCTTCTTGGGCAATGCTGACGTGGTCTTGAACATTGAACGAGTGAGAGTGGGGGGGGAGTGATTATCCTGGAGAGACATCGATTCAGAAGCAGTACCGCGTCTTGACCGCAATAACCGGCGCATCGTCCTTCTATAGAATTCAATTACTCTTCAATAAAACAGCACGGGCTGACGAATCTCGCATGGAATCCCTGGTGGGCAAAATTACAATCCAAAAATTCTGGGTTGTCTAAAAAAGGTAGCAAATTCGTCTGTGATAATAGTGACTCCAACTTGTACATTTAAGCCCCGCCACTCGGTTTATGACCAAGCCGCCTTCAAATGCCAATACGATTTTGAATGGAAGTAGAATGCGTGGCACAGCTCTATCGACCAACGTCAGATGCTTTTTAAAAGGGCATAAACAATGCCAATTCGTCGTCTCAGAAACGTAGCGTACGCTTACGAAATCAGTTCCTTGGCTCCATAGCAACGAAATGGCTTCATCCGACCCAATCTACAAACCAATAGCTCCAGTAACAAGGGGTTTACTGGAGTGTTCTCGCAACGATGATGGGAATTTATTGTATTGAGAAAGCGAGTAGGCTTACAAGAAAGGATCGAAACGCACTATTCGAGTGCCTTGACGTTCCTAACCTGAGCAGAATTGAAAAGTATCAAATTCTTCTCAATCAAATCAAGTGCTTTTCTCCAGAAATCCGAACATTTCCGTTGTACACTAACAGATTGTTCAAAAGGAGAAACATAGGCATGGTCGGGCTTTTAGGAGCCAATAGCGTGCATGACTTCTTCAACCTTGTTCAATATCATTCATCCAGGACGTTCAGGTACTGGGGAGGGAGGGGATGGGAAGAGGGGGAGGGGGGTCCGGACGTTCACGGTACTCGGCGACGGCATGGGGATGGGGAGGGGAGAGGGGGAACGCTCAAGTAAGTAAGGAGCAATTTCTGTTCACCATTGCGTTTCTCGCCTCTCTTGTCTTAGCTCTAACAAGGGAGGTCTTTCAGGGCAAGCACGCTTTTTCAAAACGGTTTTGCATATTGTAGGGACGCATGTAGGGAACGCAAAACCATGTTTCATTTTCGCTGAACGGTTTAGCAGTACCAAAAAAGAAGCATAAGGTACTGTTAAGGGTTCGATCCCCGTGGCGACTAAATTTTGCATTTGGGTTGGCGCCTACGGTTTGGTGCCAAATCGCGCTAAATATCAAAATCAGATGTCATTCTCATCGTCAGGACCATTTTGAAGCCACCAAGTGGCCGCCAACCTTGAATTGCAAAATTTAGTCGCCGCGGGGGACCGAACCATCGAGGGTATCATTCACCACTTTTTTGATACTACTAAAACCGTTCAGCGAAAACGAAACACGGTTTTGTGGTCCATACATGCGTCCCTACAATATGCAAGAAACCATTTCCAAAAAGCGCGGCTTGCCCTGAAAGACCTCCCTTGTAAGTTACCTACCATCGACCCAGTTTTGAATGTCCCTCATCCTCAAGGCCATGAGCGTCTCAGGCGGTCCACCAATTTTACCTCGGATAGATCGTCTTTCAAGATTCTTTCAAACGTCTCACTAATTCAGGAACACCGCACGTATCACTAGAAATGGGTTTCACTGTGACCTTTATACTCTACACATGACGTTCGTGAAGGGAAGTAATGCTAATATGCTGAACACTCCCATAGGAAACTAACAGATTCCTGCAGAGTTTAAATATAATGTGTTGCTAGGCAATTCCAATCAACCGTGTGAACATGCGGAACTAAAATCTAGAATAATTAGTCACTTAATTCAAAGAACTTGTACAAAAAACTGCGCGCATCGAAACAGCAGCGAAATACTACGTCCCGAAGACTAGAACGATCGAATTTGTCTCGGATTCGATTTCGGCACACGGGTGGAGTAGTGAGGGGCTAGAGCTGCAAATAACTTCGAAGTGTCAAATCTACTCAGGCCACCCACAGCGTTTATTCACCAGGTTAATTGGTTGACAGGAAACTTTACCGGAAGATAAAAAGACAAATTGAAGAATGTGACACCGGAACTTCGACAATGAAATTAGATATATACACACCAAAATAAACGTGCGAGGCGGTTGCGCGGCGTATTTTAAAGGAAATGATCGAAGCTGCCACGGACTACTTGAACTCAGCCCTTTAAACCGCCTCTGCGCTCTCTCGCGGGTCCCTCTCCTCTCCAAGGCTTAGTCCTAGGGCATTCACCCGTTCTCTAATCGTCTGTGCTCTAGCCATCGCGGCAGGACCATTGAGGAAAAATCAAGTAGTCCGTAAACCGTCGAAAGACATCACATTGAATAAACGTATTGAGCCCATTTTATACGACGGGTTTCTATAAAATAGACATATTTTTGTCTGACAACTATTTCTTCCTCATAACTTATACTGCTGCATTCACCATAATAAAGAAAGAAAGTAGTAATAAGAAATAAAGAAATAAAAATAAACAAAAACACGAGAGATGAAATAAATGTGCATAAATATTAAAATTAAAATAATGCAATAGTGAAAAAACATGACATACCGAGACGAAGCGGTTCCATCGCCTTCGGATAAAGTGCGGCTATTCCTAGTGCTGTTCCATGTCGAACCGCACGTGGCAATGCCGTTATTCCACCAGCTCCTTTTGCCGTCGCCTTTACATCGACCCGTCCCAAAAGTCCAGCAACTATCATCGGAGCCAAGAGGATTTCCCTGGAATGAGGTGTATCGGGCGAATCCTATCAATAAATCTTCCAAAACTATTTTGATAAGTTAATCCTCAAACAACAACGTAATGATCGAAAATTGTGAATTTGAAGTTTTTCCATGATTAGTGCACAATACCAAAAATATCATCTATTTGTTGCCATGTTCAAATTCACAATGAAGCTAGAGGGAATAAGCAGATTTCCAATGATGGTATAGACCAAGGTGATGAAGGAAAA